CTGTTTATATTTAATTGCTTTTAAGTGGTTATTTTAATCTGTATGTGTCTCCATTAAAGCTAAGTACAAATATTAATATCAGTTAAACTCAGTGTTTAGCAGGTTGGTTTCGAACAAAAATTTCTAACGTTAATTTCTTTACCCTCTATATTTTCAAACCATAATTTCCCTGGTTTTTGAATAGACAATGTTAGGAAATGCTCAGATTTTTGTTTCCAAATTGCAAATAAGGCCTTTGGAGAAATGTCTTCTGATCAGCTACATTCTGAAGACTCACTAGTTACGTTCTCAAACTGTGCTAAAATTCTCAGCATAAATATAGCATAAGCATCTACATATTTCATGTTAAAAATGTATGTGTCATGGTTCATCAACTTATTTTCATTCAGAAAGTCTTTGTACACCTGCTCTATGCACAGGAGGTAGCACTAAGTTTCCTGAAATTGGTAAGACAAAATTGGTTCCATAAAGGTAACTGGGACAAGTAAAAAGGCACCCGTATAATAATTGAAATCCTACCGAGAAACAGAGGAAGTGATGCTTGGCTGACTGTTTTTAAAGGACTGCCATGGCTCAGTGTGGACTGTCTATACTAGGTTACTAACGCAAATGTAAAGTCTATCCCAGAGGGTTTTGTGTGGCCAGAACAATGTTTCTAGTACTTTCAATATGAATGCTTTCCCGTGAAGCACTGCTCTCTAGCTAGGGAGAAGTGCTGTTTTCTTTTGTCACCCTTTACCTAACTCTCACATTTTCCTTCTTGGCCCCTTCTGTACATGTAAACCTAGAGACTACTGGGCTACAGAAGGAGGCAACAAGCCATGACCTATAAGCCAAAACCGGCTCCACACCTGTTTCTGTGCCACCCCTGAAATATTCTCTATGTTTTGAAGGCTTATAATTTTTCAAAAGGATATGCCACAGAGACATATGTGGCTTACTTAAATAATTTGATATATTCACAATTTTGATCTTAACAAAAAAAGTTTGCCCATCCCTAGTCTAGAATAACACTCCCATGTGTTTGCTGATGTACTCATATATAGACTTATTACACACGCACATCAAGTAACTTATATAACCAGGAGAAATTGTGAAACACTTTTCAATGATCAACAAAGATTCCTAGTAGTTGTGTCTAACACGTTTCTCAGGTAAGGTTTTCTGATTCTATAAGTCCTGCAACTGTTGATATCATTAAGTTATTTTACACAAAAGCCTGTAATTTATACATAATCCATGTCGATATAACGGATTCTTGTCCAAAAACCCGTGGGACAACCTTATCTGGTGATAGTGCAATTTACTTCCCCACCCATTATGGAAGAGCCAGTCTTGTATCCATTAAGCACATTCATTTTGGCATTATTGGGTGCCTAGCTATGTCACACTTAGATGCTCCTTTGAACAGGCTTTAATAACTTACTGGTTTCTTTATTAACTAATGGGTTAAATAATACAGTTGACGTGTTCATTTTATGTTCATATGAAGTTACGAGCTTACCATTTTTTATCCTTTAAATATGTTAACTTATTTATGTTGTATAGATACACTATTGTACTAATATGTATCATAAAACATAAGATGGGGATTCAGAAACCAAGAGCTAAAAAAGTGTTACTAGATTTTTTCCACAATACAGTGTGACATGTACACCCCACCTTCGATGCCACGGTAATTTTTAATATACTTAAATGTTTTAGCTACCTTGATCTTGTGAAAGAAAACTAAGAAAAATTATGGACAAATAGCTTAAATTATTGAATTCACATTTTCTGAGTTTATTGAAGACATTTTTAAAAAAACTTTAACTCATATCAGTTAATCCAATAAAGACAGGTAGATTTTTTAATGTTGGAAGGAAATGTACATTTAAATGATCAAGCATCAGTAACATAATTTACTACTGGCTGTGAAATCAGACTTTCAAATGTAGCTGCATTTCTCTTCCTTAAAGCATACTCTTGGATTTACTTATGTTTTTACAAATTTAGTTCTTAAACATCATTTAAAATGCAGGCTTCATTCTGAGAAGAGCACTCAATATTGCCACTGAAGTTCTGTTGTCTGGTGTCATTTTGTCAATTACGCTGATGCCATGAGACCATGGAACAGTGCCACTGTTTCCAGGAGCAACAGAAAATCAAAAGATTTACATGCAATGTTGTTCTAGAAAAATCTACTATGTTGGTTTATGCTTAAAAAATAGTTACTACCAGAGTAGTAATTTTCCAATCTATCCTTTAAAAGTTCCAATGTACTACTGCATTTTTTTTAAGTTGTAAAAGAATGATGTACATATATCCTTAAACATAGCACATAAAAGCAACCACTAGATGGAGATTTAGATGTTAAGATTACTTATGTAAAGAAAATTATTTATTTGAATTAATAGTGCAATTTAAGATTGAAAGGTATTTTCTTTACAAGTGCACTCCCTATACCACTGAAATAAAAAAGTCAAATCTAAAACTATGCAAAAAGTCATCCCTTTTTGAATTAATAGAGACTTAAAAAATTTTATTGAACAATAAGAATATTAAAACCCAACATATTTTTTTTTTAAATTTATGTGGGGTTCTTGATGAGTAGCAGGTAGTTTTACGTATGCCATAAACCTTTGGTAAATGTGATTTAAATGCAAATGTCATGTAGTAAGAGATCTTATATTTCTTTAGAGACTAATAATCATGAATGTCCCATTACATGCTAACACCATCTTTCACCGCCTCACTCATATACAGAACTTCTATACATATATAGAAATGGCATTCATACATTATACACACACACAGACACACACACACACACACACATAGATGTTTATACGTATATAAGTACCATGGATGAATACCATGAATATATTATATATATTCATAGATAAAACATATTACATATATTCATATATATTATATATATTCATAGACTTCATATATATATATTCATATATATAACATATATATAATTGATCCATGGTACTTATATACGTATAAACTAATTCTTACTGAAATAATGCTAAAACTGCAGTATGGTTTTGTGTTATGATAAAATCTATATTATTCCCTAACTTTGGCATGTTCTGTGCACAGCTCTTATTCATTTGACATTTGAGGACACCATAATCTTGACATTTTGAGCTTCTGGAGAAATTTCTGTTGCACCAAGGATTCTGGCTTGCTACTGTTCCAAAATAAGTGATTATTTTAGTTCCAGTAGATAGTCTGAATTTGTAACAAAGAGGGTAAAAATCACCACACCACCCTCACTATCTAAGTGATATACACTTAAAGAATCCTACAGTCTTCTAAGTGATCAGCATAGCCACTGATTTGGCCAGACCTTCCAGAATCCTCCCAGTTTCCAAGTTCTGCTTAGTCATAGGCCAAAGAACTATACTGATGTCAAGAAGACCAGCTCAGGACTCAGTGTGCCCTGATGACAGGTGATGCCAATGCCAGTTCCAAACAGGGCTCAATCAACCCTAATTTTTCCTGAAAAACATACTTTATATTATGATATTTTGATATAACTAAAAAGGTGCCAAAATTAAATATAATCAATTGCTTCTTAATCTATGTTCCCTTCTACTTTATTCTTAACAATCATTATAATGTTTTATCTATAAAAATTTATGTGTATGACTCCCTGTATAGACTCTAATCTCATGCTGGGCAGGGATAATGATTCATCAGTTAATATCCTCATTACCTGCATATAGAACAGTGACTGACACAGAGAATAATATGAATAAATGTTTGTCTTATTTAAAGAAATCAAATAAAAAAGTATTTTAATAATCAAACCACATCCCATAATTAAGATAATTCTGTGCTTTTTAGAGCAGACATCTCCAAAAAAGATGTCTACAGATTTATCAGTATGCATATGTCAGAATCAAATACATTATTATAGTATATGAATCAGTATATAGAAAATTATGATCACTGACTATAACATTTAACTTAAGAATTTGCATTGCCATGTCACGAAACTCTAATACAATTTAATCTTGCATTTGCAATAAATCCTAGATTCATTAAAGAATAAGGAAACAATATGGAACTCAATTTTTCTGGCTATTTAGCTTTTATAGCTTATATGAGTATGAATGACTTATATATCTAAAAATATGAACTTACCAAATTCACCTTTTAAAACTGTTAAAGAAATTGAGTAAAAAATAGAATTGTGCATTACGATGCTATATATATATATATATATATATATATATATATATATATATAAAATTGAAAAAAACAGAAACAAGATACACATAATTTACAGCATATTGACACCAAACACACAAATTACAACTATAAGACTGCCATTAAAAGCACATTTAAAAATCTGCAAACTATCAAAAAAATGTTGATCTATAGCACAAACTATATCTACTGGCTTGGGGATAAAACACATCCAAAATTAAGTTTCCCAAATTCAAATTCTGAATTTTATCCTGGTTTTAAGATTTATATCATAGGCTGGAAAAAGTATTTTGTAAATGATGCATTTAATTAGCTCAAAAATAACTGTTCTGAGACTTACTAAAAAAGAACCAGAAAACAGTGAGCTCCAGCTAAATGTGAATGTTTATGCATATACTTACCTTAGCTAACAGCAAATGCTTATTGTATAGTTGCTTGAATTAATGACAAACTCTTTATTGGAAATAAGATTAATAGCTTAGACAATACTGAGACAAAGCTCTAATAGGAAACGAAAAGCAGAAAGGTCCATTTTTTTACTTCATTTTTCTTCCTTTAGGAAATCTTGAAACTGTCTGAAAATTTGTCATACTTTAACATTTGACACACTTTGTTTCAGATATATGACCAACATTATTTTACATCCCAGTGGACAAAAGAGCAAGGGGTATCAGGTATTAGCTAGCACAAAAGGAAATACCCAGATGCGGAGGTGCGTAAAAGTGAAGACAGACTCTGCATAGGCATCAGAGTGAGACTAGACAGTGAAAATGTGCTCCAAGGAGCACCCATACCTGGTTTTTTTCTTGCAGATCAATTTGTGACATCTTGAAATCAGGACCTTGAGAGTTTGCACTTAATCTGTTTTTCTTATCCAAGAGCTCTTCCATTTCTTTCACCTGGATCTTCAGCCTTCTGTTTTCTCTCTCCAGTCCCTGCTTTTCTGTTTCAAGTATTTCCCTCTTGTCCCACTCCAAGGTATTTTCAGCTTGCAGTCTCTCTAGCTACACAAAGAAAACACACACAAAAGGCAACATGCAGCATTTGCAATTACTGAAAGATAATGCAACCCACAAACAGGCTCCCATTAAGAAAGATTCGTGAATATGTCCATTGATAGAATTTTAAAAAGAAAATTCTATTTGTTTGAAAACTTGAGAACAATACAAAAGTCCTAAGATTAGGCCAAATCATAGATAAATGTACTTTCCTCTTGGTTCATGTAACTATCTCTACAACCATATGGACCATATTTTTCAAATAAATGTGTCAAGTGAAAAACTGCTGCTCTTGGGAACATTAATTTCCAATTTCAACTGATGAATATTCTCAGTGGAGAAGACACAAAACTATTTCGTGGGCAATTTTGATTCAGTATATTTCATTTATTTATCCATTCATTTATTTATCTAGGGAATAGATAGATGATGTATCTATTTATCTATCTATCTATCTATCTATCTATCTATCTATCTATCTATCTATCTATCTGTCTATCTATGCAACATTTGCAGTTGCCAAAAAGTAATGCAAAAGATGATTGAAAGATACATATAATTTATAATTTTATATTTTAAAATTTTACATTGAAACATTTTCTATGTAAAATTATATAAAATTCAAATATCAGTACCACAAATAAAATTGTATTGGGACACAGCCATGCTCATTTTTTCACACTTTGCCTATAATTGCCTTTACACACAATGGCTAAGATGTTGAGAGAGAGAGATCACAGGTTGTGAAGCCCAAAATATTCACTTTGTGGTCCTTTACACTAAAGTTTTGTCAACGTCTGCCCTTTTCCCGTCATTCTCAACAAAGGCTGCATGGTGTATCAACATGAGGAGATTTTTATAGCTACCAATGTCCAGAAGCCTACTCTGGAAATTCTGATTTAAGATAATTTTAATATCTTGGTCAGTTCTTTTAAAATTATTATACTTTTAGTTCTGGGGTACATGTGCAGATCTTTCACGATTGTTACATAGGTAAACACATGCCATGGTGGTTTGCTGCCTCCATCCCCCATGACCTACATTAGGTATTTCTCCTAATGTTCTCTCTCCCCAATCTCCCCACCCCTGCTATTCCTCCCTTAGCCCCTCACCCCCAGCAGACCTCAGTGTGTGAAGTTCCCCTCCCTGTGTCCATGTGTTCTCATTGTTTAACACCCACTTATGAGTGAGAACATGTGGCCCCATGTCTTTTGCAGGGACATGGATGAATCTGGAAACCATTATTGTCAGTTTTTATTATTTTAACATTTTTATGTTTTAAAGAGGCAATATAAAATGTATCTGTTTTCTAGAATTTTATTTCATCTAAATGATCATTATTATGAGGTGCAATTATATTTGTCTGCTATAATTTTTTTTTTGGTGGACATTGTAAGTAGAAGTGATTAGTAGCTTTTTTGCTCTAAATTCTAATCCTGAGCTGTGCATTCTAATCCGACTTCACCATTTATTTTCTGTATAAACTTAGGTAAATTCCACTACCCCAATGTGGACAATTTATTATCTAATCTGACAAGGTTTGTGAGAAGTGAAATTAATCAAAGTAATTAGAAAGCACTTTGTGTAGCAATGTTCTGTTTAAAGGAGAAACACTGTGGTAATAATTTTTTTAAATGTATATTTCTTTCATAAATTTGGGCATATGGATATCAAGATGTCAATGTAATTTATGGCATAAATCTATACAGTGGAGTAACTCTTTACAGTAGAAAACATTTTAGAATCTAGTCCTGGTTCCACCACTTACTCATTGTCTAATTCTGGAAAAGACATTTATTATGTTACTGACTTTCCTTACTTGCAAAATTAGTAACACCATACATATAATACCAAAATACAAGAGTATAAATGCCATATTTGTGGTATTGTAAGGACGGAATAGTGTCAACTATTCAAAAGTCCTTGAGGTCTATTTGGGATGATTAAAGTATGAGGCATTATAAAACTATCTCAAAAGGATAAAAATTCTAAATTACTTGTTTTTACATTGTTAATTTTAAGTGGCTTGATTGCAATATAATTAATACTATACTGTTTTAATGTATGTTGCTATGACATATTAAATTCTAAAAAACCACCAACTTAGTCAACATTTAGAAAAATGTTAAACTTCAATAATATCCTTTATATCATAATAAATTATGATATAAAAGCCTAAAAACTGCTTTTTCATATATACATAATTGTACCATTATTGTAGAAAATGTTCTGTTCCCAAATCTAAGAGATGCTCTGGCTTCTAAAATGTAGGAAACCAAAATTACATTCTTGGCACTAGATCTCATTTATCAATTAAATATAATAAACTAAGGTTCAAATTTTAGATGATATAGTTTGACATCTGGGGTACTTGTTTGGGGTTATGAAATGAAAATATTATATCACAATTTAATTTAGAAGATGGCATTACTTTCATTGTTAAGATTAATACTTAAAGTTTTTTATTATTGCATCACTTCTCAGAATAAAAATAATAAAGTTGTAACAAAAAGGCAGCAACTTAGTAATGAAAAATTAATATAAGGAAAGCAAATGTATTTTTGGGCAAGGACAAACATTTTGTTGTGACAAGTCTTTGCAAACTTGTAGGTTTTTTTTTTAAATGTTAAATAAATTGATTTAACATTAACTAACAGATAACAAGTAGAACCAAGGTTTTAAATAAGTAATAGATGGTCTGAATAAAACAACTTTACCTATTAAGGTTTTTTAAATTTTGAGACGGAGTTTCGCTCTTGTTATCCAGGCTGGAGTGCAATGGCACAATCTCGGCTCACTGCAACCTCCACTTGCTGGGTTCAAGCAATTCTCCAGCCTCAGCCTCCTGAGTAGCTGGGATTACAAGTGTGCGCCACCATACCCAGCTAATTTTTGCCTTTTTAGTAGAGACGGGTTTCACCATGTTGACCAGGATGGTTTCGATCTCTTGACCTCATGACCCACCTGCCTCGGCCTCCCAAAGGTTTTTTTTTTTTTTTAAGTAATGATTATAGCAGTAGCAACAACAAAGCTTAAACAATGACTTATGATGTTTCACTTTTTGTAGATTTATCAAAACATACAAATTATTGGATAAACATGTATATAATATGCATTAAAAATTAAAATTCCTATACAAATTAGAACATTGTAAAAATTCTAAGTTTTAGTTTTTATTTTGTAACACTGTGTGTGTTTCTTATCAGATCACTCTTTTACAAGAATTATATGAAAATCCACCAAATTAAAATGCATTTAATTGTATGAACATTAAAATGATAAAGGAAAAATCAGATAGTTTAAGCTTTCAAAGTTTATAATAAAAATAATAATTTTAGCAAATGGAAATAGAATTCCATTGCTTCAGTTCTGATGATCAAGAGAAAATCCTAAAATATTTCAATCGTATTTCAACTGTGAATTTTAACCAATAGTGTGTTCTAGCGTTAAATGAATTTCGGATAACATAGACATTACTGAAACATGTTTTCTGAAAATTTTAATGTAAAAGGACATTCTCCGTAATGAAAAAGTGCATTCACTAAAATATTTGTTCACTTAATGACATCAATTTCTTTACTTATTAATCATTGAGAAAAAGTACATAAATATACAACACTACATTTACTGAATGTTTATTGAATATGTTTATCAGAAAACAAAGAGAAACTGAATAAATGACTTAAAAAATACAAATAGAATATGAGTAAAATTGGTCATCATTTTATGAAGGAAAAAAATTCTGAGTGCCATAGAAAGGCCAGCAATAAATCAGGTAAAGGAGAAGGTCATTTGAGGAAATGATATTTAAGTTGAAACTTATAGTACAACAAAACAGAAAAGCATAGTCAGGCCCAGAGTGTCCCAAGCACAGGAAGCAGGAAATATGTTTGAACATTGCAAGACCCAGAAGAGTCTGCCCAGTTATGGAAGTTAGGATTTGGGGAGAACATAGCATAAAAGAAAATTGGACAAACACACTGGTTCTGAAAAATCAGTGTGAATATCAGAATCACTTAAGTTGCTTGTAAAAATGGTAATATTGTGACTATTCCTAAGGATAAAATATTGGATCATTTTCTAAACATAGCTATTTACTCATTCTTCAGCTGTCATTGCTTGATATTGTTGAAAAGATTTGAAAATTGTAATCATTACAACTAGAACATAAGCTTTATAAAACCAGGTTTGTCATTTTGCTCATAAGCCCAGCACCAGACACACAATCTATGTTTGCTCCCTAAATAACTGTTAAGGGAAAGAGAAAGCAGATAATGATAGTCTCCAGGAAAAAAAGCCTTTCTGTATTTCAATGACAACAATCAGACACAGAGCAAAATTAAGACAGCACTCTAAAACAGCCAGTTACTTGACTTACCATGACCTAACACCAAAGGATTTCTCCATACATTGACTGTGAACTCCTACTGCTATTATCATAGCTGCTTTACAATTTGTGGTAGTGAACACAGAGAGGCAGAGAGGATTTTTAATAAAATGACATACAAATGACTCCCAATTCTCCTTTTAGTCTAATAGCCTCCATTTTTCTTTTTTATAACGTGAGAAAACTCTTTCTTACAACCTAGTGTTATGAAGGAGAAATGAAATCATTTAGGGAAAATATTTATTAAACTTCCAAATTCAACTCAAATTCAAGTTGAGTTGGAATTAAACTTCCAAGTTAACTCAAATTCAACTCTTAAGTCATCCATCTGTTTTCTATAGGAGAAAACATATCAACAGCCACTTCAAATACAAAGTGATGTATTAACTTTTTCCTCAAGTTTTATCAAGATGACGATCATTTTGTAAACGGCTCTAAACAACCAAGAAAACTCCCAAAAGAATGCACTATATGCCACTTTGCAGGCCAGTGAAGAGTCATCTAAAACAACTGTGGATGTTCCAGTAATTGACTTCAAATACTCAGAATTTTGATTTCAGACAAGTTAGCCATAAAACCTCATTATATATACTGTGATTTTGGAAGAAAGAAGGAAATG